CACTGACAGAGGCGAGGCTGCCGGACACTGGCGCCAGCGGGCCCTCTGACCACCACCAGTAGGCGGCAAACATAGGGTTAGTATCTTGCCCAAGGATATTTGGCATGCAGCCAGGAGGCAGCCTGGGATCAAACCACCGACCTGATTAGTGGCTGACCTGCTCTGCCACCTGAGCTACAGCCACCCCAAGGTCACATTTGTCATTTTACAGGCAATAACCTGTAACTGGTGATGGATTGTGAGCTGGATGAGCCGATACATCTTTGACATTCAGGTTTTGGTATATAAAAATTTATTTAAATTTAAATAAAAAAAAAATAATAATAATAATCACCTTTTTTGAGGTGAATGTAAGCTAGTTCATACATGAACCAGTTCTGAAAAAAATGAAATGTATGGTAGCCAAATGCTCCTTTAGACCATAGAGAGTATTTAAGATTCAGGCAGAGAAGAAAAATGAACAAACAATGATTTTTCCATATTTTATTATGTCATCTCTGTTAACCCATTTGAACTCTGCTCCCTCTGATCTCGCTCTCTCTCCCCATCTCTCTAATAGAGTGTTTAAAACAAACAAACACACACAACAAAAGTTTCTTTTAAATTCCACATGTAATTAGCTTGTTTACATGCGTAATGCCTAAGTATTACCTATCTGGAAGTCCTTGTATTATGTTACAAGATGCATTTTAAAAATCTAATTATAAATTTACATCAGTAAAACAAATCTATTCTTTAAGTCTGAAGCTTTTTTAATGATACCATATCTTGTAAAATAATCACTTGATTAGACTAGGCACAGGTTCATATGCAGATTTGCTTGTCAGTTACAGCACAGTATGCCACCACTTTAAAAAAATAAATAAAAATGTGCCAATAATATTGCGTTGTAATGACTTTAGAAACCTGAATATGCTCTTTGTGTACATTCTTGATAATGAAACAGACCACAATTTACCTTCCAGAGGCAAAAAAAACAAAAACAAAAAAGGAAAACAGTAACTGTAAAGCCATCAAGCAACAGTCTCTTTGCCAACAAGCCTTAAATGATTAAACTTGGGTTACTTTACTTAGCTATACCACAAATTAAGCATTCTACTAATAATGTTTTGAAAGCTTGACATGGCTAATGTAATATAAGAGTTGACTTAAAAGCAATTCAGTCATGCTGTACTCTGACACATCATGCTTTGAGCTAAAAGCAGGGATTTGATGTTTAGCTGGTATAGTCTCGATCTATTTCAGCATAACTTTGGCAATACTAATTACTACTAAACACAAATTACACCTGAGGTTTTTGCAGGTATTAATTGGTAAACCACAGTATTAGCCAAATCTGGTTGAAAAGAATCCATTCACTGGATGTTACTCAAAACAAAAAGTCAGCCCCCAGATAACTCGAGATGAAACAGAGCACTATCATTCTCATGGATGTCTGGACAAAATGCGCAAATCCAATGAGCACATGTCAAACTGTTCTACTGAATAAGGACAAACTTTTACCTGCTGTTGGTGCAAGTATAATTTATACTCAGTAGCCCAAGTACCCCTGGACCAGAGATGGTACATTTTATGGTTTTTACGAATGTCTGTACCAACCGTACATCCAACGAGAACAGCAAAAATATAGACTATTCACAGCTTTGATTCAACAGTAAGTAATGATGAATGTCTGCTGTCACCTTATAATAGCATTTTTATATGATAAAAAGTTTTAGATTACAGCTGGTGGAGGGACAGTATCTACATATTCACAACCAACTAGTTGTGGGCACACTCCCATTTCACTGTGCCCAGTCATATGAAGATTTTTTGGCTTCTGATTGACCCAGTCTATGTAGCCTTTAGCCTTAAAAGAAGCGTTAACTGACTCACTGTGTTTCTCCAGGAAAACCACGTTGTCACTATTCACTTCTTTCACCATGCTGTAGTTATCAGGCACACTGCCTTCTTGTCCCTGTGTGTCCAGAGTATGGGGAATATTTTCTTTCTTCATGATTAAAATATTGTCACCATTTACCTCGTTCACTCTGCTGTAGTCTGCTTCCTGCATGTGCTCATGTCTCGGAATATCCACATAACCACCGATTCCAAACGGTTGGAAGATCTTCTCAGTGACACCTTTTAGCCGATTTGCCTTCTCATCATTTAAAACGTTTGCACTTGAGCATTTAGTAAGAAGCTGCGACGACTCTGTCTTATCTGAACTCTCCTCTGAGGAAGACTCGCTGTCTTTTGGAAAGTGATCCACTTCACTTGTCTCCTTAGATTGGACTTCTGAGTCTAATGCCATGGCAAGTGGCAGAATGAATATTTTCTTTTTCTCCAACGGCAAATACGAGGTTTCTTTATCAGACACGATCAGGTAATCCTCTTTCTGGTCCTTCCAGGGTATCATAACAGGAAATCTCTGGTTGAGAAGCATGGCATTAATGACATCTTCAGACTGGCCGCTCTGCAAAGGTTAATAGAGTACATTATTATCAGCACCAAAACAATGGGGCTTTTTGTGTGTGTGCATATTCTAGAAGCAGAATGGAGAGGCAATCACCTTGAGAAGTTGAACATCAACTCCTCTTATCTTTGGACTAGGGACAGGGGGCAGAATATACTTCTTCACACTGAGAAAGAAAACAGTCATGAGTCAAGTCTTCACATCTTGTCTTCATTTAAAATAGAGTGATTTAGACTTTATATCAGATACATACGTTTTTCTCTTCAGGATCAAGATAATCATTGCCGCAAGCAATGGAATTAGACAGAGGCTGAAAACCAGTATCCAAAAGGAATTGTCCTTGCGAGAAACTGAATTTTGTTTTGTTTTAAAAAAAAAAAAAAGAGGCACATTTTTATTAATCTTTAACTGTTAGCACTTGCCAATATGTTGTAAAGAAGGCGTAAAGGGCTTTCGGGACTTACAGTTAGGGACTTTGACAAAGGTAGTGTTGCTCCACTCACTCCAGCTATTGTCTATTGCACAGCGCACTTCAACCATGTACACCACCCCAAGATCAATGCTGTAAATGGTGAAATGTGTTTGTGTTTCTGACGCGTAATTCTAGAAAGAAAGAGGAAAAGAAATCACAAAACATTTGACTTCTACTACTGTTAAGATCACCTTTGGACTAAACGAGAGTTAAAAATACATTTGTTTACTTTGAAATAAAACAATTTAACCATAAAATTTATGGTTAAACTGCAGTATACTGATTTACTGATTAATCGTGTGTGACAGGTTATACCACAACTTTATTCTTCACATGACAGTAAAAGGTTGTTTAATGATTTCCTATTTGGGCTGGTGCAGTTCATTCCAGAGCCTGATTTCATGCTTGACTTGCCAACATGGATTCATCATCTGACAGAGGAGATAATCGCTACTAGCCAAGACTGCTAAAAGTTAGACCTAAAATTTATTTTGTGATTGCATTAATTTTCAAAATGTAAGATTTTGAGGTTTCAACTCATAATGGGTAACATGCATTTTCATCTTTCTGTTTTTTTGGATAGAAAATCTAAATGGTAATAATAATAATACTTAATTTACTTTAAACTTGGAGTTTAATTTGATTTCACATTTAATTCTAAAATGTTATGTCGGTTTGATTTGTATATTTGTTAAAAGGTTTGCATAAAATTAATGTTGGTCAAACTTAGAAGTGACTTCTAAGAAGAAGTAACTTTTAGACTTGATTGGCATTCAGAGCCACAGATTTTTGAAAGTTATTTACTATTTTCACATACAATCAATACAAACAGGAAGCGTGCGCTGTGTCAGTTTGAAGGTTTTATATACAGAGACATTTAAAAAAAAATAAAAAAAAATCTAGGTCCTTTCCAGGTTTTAAAACTGGGTAAACACAACCTCAGATACAGCAGCAGGTGACATATTATACCATGTCACTATTTATTCAACAAAAACTAAGCCAAAAGGCAGAGGCAGTGTGTGAAAAACACAAGGTCATGCATAACTTGAAGCAATCATTTTCCGTATGACTTTATCAGGCTCTCACCTCATTGTGGAGGAACTTTGGCCCACTCCTCTTTATTGCATTGCTTAAGTTCACTGAGTTTTGCGGTCATTCATTTATGCACGGCTCTCTTTTAAGGTACCGCCACGGCATTTCAGTCAGGTTGAGGTCTGAACGTTGACTGGGCCATTGCAATACCTTAATTTTTTTCTTTTGAAGTTATTTTGTAGTAGATTTGCCACTGTGCTTGGGATAACTAGACCTCATCAATTGACTAAATGAAGTTTCACGGAAAAATATAAAAATATTGATAAATCATGTATCTTAAAAAACAAAAAAAGAAAAGTAACATTTAGAAGCCCCCCTGAAAATGCATACAAACAAATCACAGCTTGGCTGCCTTAGGAAAACAAATACAAATCTTTAAAATTAATACTACAACAACAACAACAACAACAACCACCTCCTCTACTGATAATACCAATAATAACTATTATTTTTGCCTCATAACTTTTGCACTGTCCACTTCCTGCTGTGACAAAACAAATTTCCCACGTGTGGGACTAATAAAGGTTATCTTATCTTATCTTATCTTATTATTGTCATTTCGGAAACTTGTTTCCTTATATATGGTGGGGGAGGGTTAGCATGTAGATAGTATCCAAATAGCACGAAGAGTCTACAAAACTGTTTGTTCCGAACAATTATAATTTACTAACATACACACAGTGGTGAGAACAAAATAGGTTGGCACATGTTTCATTCATCCAATGGTAATTTTCCATGGGGACTCATTTTTGGCACAGTGTAAGAACGTTTCCATGCAATATTAGAGAAGCTCTGTCAGCCACTCACCTTCCATATTTTGCTCTTGTCTGGTTTGACTCTCAGTTGATTCTTCAGAGTGACCCATCCTGACTTTGTGTCTATGTTAGACGGTGTATGCCATTGGATGGTGAGGTGTGGGCTGTCCTCTATATTGACCACCACTGTAACATTTTCAGGTGCAAAGGGCTTCACTGTTCATCAATAGAGAGAAACAGAGACTGTGATGCTGTTTATCAGGTACAAACTTAGTTCAGTATATTTGCATGCCAACATTTGGTATTTGGCACTAAAATCAAAATGAAATTAAGTTTTATGAGAAGAGCATTAACTTTAGTTTATTTACATATTGAAATTTTGAACTAGGCTGAAAAAAGTGATTGTATTTTTTTTGTCATTTTGCCTTTATCCAATAACACCAGCGTAGATACAGATGGGCATGTTGGAGTGAGGAGTGACTTTACACAAGGTTCTTGGTGTCCAAGAGTTAACCCACAGTTTGTGCGTTTACTGTCAAGCTATCAGGTAGGGCTGTTAAAGTGAGGCAAAAATCATAATCGTAAATATTTTGGTCTCTAGCAAGCTCATTTAACAAAATTACTTCCTGACTTCATCTCAGCCTATCCATAACATCCTCTTCTGTTCATTTATTGCTTTTTAAGCTGTACTATTATAATTTATTGTTACAATGAACTCTCTGAAAAGCCTTCAACATGGCCAGAATGCAGCAGCCCAGGTTTTAGTCCGACCTGCGACCCATTGCTGCACCCCCACCCACTCACCCTTTCCTGTCTTCACTACTCCACTATCCAATAATAGAATGGGAACCAGAGCCTTCAGCTTCCAGGCCCCTCTTCTGGAACCAGCTCCCAGTGTGAATCTCTACTTTTAACATTAGGATTAAAACTTTCCTTTTTGATAAAGCATATAGTTAGGGCTGGATCAGGCGACACAGAATGCTCCCAATAGGTCTATTCGGCTAGAAGGTTTCCCATGATGCACTGAGTGTTTCTTCTTCACTCACTTCTTTTATACAAAACCCTGCATTTAATCGTTAGTTATTAATCTCTTGTTCTCTTCCATAGCATGTCTTTTGTCCATTCTCCCTCCCAACCAGTTGCAGCAGATTGCTGCCCCTCACTGTCCCTGGCTCAGCTGGAGGTTTCTTCCTGTTAAAAGTGAGTTTTTATTCCCACTATCACCACCTGCTTGCTCAAAAGAGGTTGTCTGATTGTTGGGGGCCATCTCTGTATTATTATAGGGTCTTTACCTTACAATGTAAAGTGCCTTGAGTTAATTGTTGTTGTGATTTTGAGCCATGTAAATGAAACTGAATTGAACTGAATGAACAGATTTAAAAAAACACTCTAGTGCATAAAATGTAATCACAATTTAGCAAATGAAGAGTCCGATACTCTAAATTTTCTCGTGCTACTCAACAGAAACCCTACACCCATGATTTGTTTGCAGGCAAACATGTGAAACAACCAACCAGCAGACTAGCATTGCCTTCCCTATGGCCACACCTCTACTTTGGTTTGCAGCTGCCCTGTTCAGAAACCAGCATGTTGATCTGTGCTTAGTCTCATGCATGGGTGCTTGTAAAGTGTGTTTTCTGAGGCCAAAAACCCTCCACAACTAATGCAGTGAAATTACTGTTTGCTTACAGGACAGGACGCAGATAC